CTAGATTGGCACCACTGGCTCAACATGGCCAGATTGGCACCACCAGATTGGCACTGCTGGATCAGCGCTGCCAGACAGGCACCGCTGTGAGGACCATGCCCAAGGCCATGGTGCATCTCTGAGCCTGCACTGAGATTGGGTCCTGGGGTGAATTTGGCCAGATCCAGAGCTGGTTTGCTCAACTTGTGGAGCCCTGGGTTGGGTTGGGTTGGGTTGGGTTGGGTTGGGTTGGGTTGGGAGGGACCTCAAGCATCACCCAGTTCACTCCTGGCCTGGGCAGGGTCACCTCCTGGTAAAAGCTGTCCCAGGAGAGCGGAAACGGCGCCGAGCCGCGCTGGGCACGAGCCCTGCTGCAATCCCAGCACTTGTGGAACATCTGGAGGGGTTTTTTCAGGGATGAAGCCAAGCAAGGCTCTTCCCCCCAGAGCTGGCCCAGCCCCACCCACCTCTTCTCAGCTGAGGGCACTTTTTTGGGAGGCTCGATGCGGATGTTGGGGTCCCACTCGCCGGGCGGGAGGACGATGACCTCGTCCAGGAACTCGTCGATGCCGGCGATCAGGTCCTCCCTGTCCCGGGCTTTGTAGGCAACGTCGCTGAAGAGCTGGGGGTGGACACGGGACGGGGGTCAGCCTCCAGCCCCACGTCCTCCTGGGGGTTCCAATCTCAATTTTTGGGGTGAAAAGGCACAAATTGCTTTTTTTTTGCTGGGTTCTGAGCCCGAAGGAAGGCCGGGCTGGCCTCAACTCACATCGTCCACCATGAGCGTGGCGATGGCCCTGCCGATCTCGTTGTAGGACCTGGCTTTTCCCGCCGGGCCCAGGAGGATGAAGAGGAACCTGGGGAGGGAAAGGCGCCGCCGTGGTGGCCACCTCGGAGCTGTGGGGCCACCAGAGGCCTGAGGAGGGGCCCGGGGACGGCGCTCACCTGGTGGGGACGGGCACCTCCGTCACTCCCCCCAGCATGGTGGCCTGGAGCAGCCGCACGAAGGCCACGAAGGGTTTCTCCAGGAACTCCACCTCTCCCACCAGCACGTTGGAGGCCTCGGCGTCCTTGGGGATCTTCTTGATGAACTTGTTCTTCAGCTGTTGGGAAAGGCAAGGTCGAGGAAGGGATTGGCTGCCAAAATTTGGCTTTTCCCTCTTTTTTTTTTTTTTGTTGAAGCCTCGGGCTCCAAGATTTCACCTCTGGTTGTCCCAGGACTCCCAGAGGTGGGCACTGAGGAGCCATATCCGGGATTCAGCCAGGAAAAATGCACAAAACCAAATTTCTTTGGAAATATGGCTAAAACCAAGACTAAACCGCGCCCCCGGGGCTCCACAACCCAACCAGCAACGTTTGGTTTTGCTCTCCTGGGGTTTCCAAAAACTCCCTGAAATCCCCCTGTGGAAAACCCCAGCCAACCCCAGGGTGGCTGCAGGAACATTTTTGGAGTTTATTTGCAGCCCTTGATGGCTCAGAACCCCCCCAAGCCCTGCACGGGGACGTTTCGTTCCCTCGCTCCTCCCCAGCCCCGTTCAGGGAGCTGGAACAAATAATGGGAGGAGGAAAACCTCATCCATGGATTTATCCCAAAACCTCATCCATGGATTTATCCCGCAGGACTCTTCTCCCCCGCAGCTCTTTTCATTAGGAGCCTAAAAGGGTTCAATAGGCAGCGGGCAGGGAGTTTGGATAATCTATATGGCAGCATGAGGGGAGGCATGTGAGCCGCCCCGGCCTAATCTTCTAAATCCAAATGGAAAAAAACAACAAAAAAATCATCATCATAATAAAGCAACTCCTCCAGTCCTGCTGGAATAAGAGCAGGAGTTACCAGTGGCCACTAAGCTTCGTGTAACACTTAAAAAGTCCCTTTGTAGTGGGCCTAATAGGGCGATTAAACCTAAATGCTTTGCATATTTTGGGATTAATCCTCCAACCCCATTGCTGGGGGGATGTTTGGGGTTCCTGAGTGGGCACCGGGGTGGATTCGTTTCAGGAGGTGGCCTGGGAACCTTCGTGGTGTCCCTGTCCCATGGCTCCCGGCAGAACGTGGATTTCCATCCATGAAATCCAAGGAAATAAAACATCATTTACTGTGTTCAGACTTGCTGTAAAGTGCGTCAGCCCAGCGAGGACATCCCGGGGAAAAGCAAGTTTTTATCTCATCCCATTCCCAAAAATCCCAAAGATCCCATTCCCTAAAATCCCAAAGCAAGTCATTATCTCATCCCATTCCCTAAAATCCCAAAGGAAGTCATTATCTCACCCCAGTCCCTAAAAATCCAAAGATCCCATTCCCTAAAAAACCAATGCAAGTTGTTATTCCCATCCCACTCCCTAGAAACCCAACTCAAGTTATTGTTCCCACCTCATTCCCTAAAAACCCAAAGATTCCATTCCCTAAAAACCCCAACGCGGGTTTTTATCCCATCCCATTCCCTAAAATCCCACAAAGCAAAGCTCGTACAAGGAACCAACCACTCCCAGAGGAAGAGTCTGGCATGGGAACAGGAGAAAATCCCCCTGACCCAAAATCCCACCGACACATCCCAAGGTGGGATCTGCTTCCCAGCTGCCTCCTACAACAATCCCAGGAGGAAAAGCCACCCATGGGCTTTGCCTTGAGAAAAATCAGATTTTTTTTACCTCAGAAAAAGCAGATCAGATCTTTTTTGCCCCAGCAAAAGCAGATCTCACCCCAAATTCCAGCCCCTCACCCCCAAGCCGGATCCCTGTGTGCAAACCCAAGAGCTCGGGTGGGATTTGCCAGCCTCTCCCTTTAGGATTCCCACATTCCCAAGCAGCTCCTGCGGATCTGGAGGGAATTTCTGCCCCACCCCGATGGATTTGGGCTCCTGGCTCGTCCCCGCGGGGATCAATCCAGCAATTAACTGCCCTAATTAAGGATTGGTGCGGGTATCGACCCGGCCACGGCTCACGTGGAGCCGACAGCCCCAGAGCCCGGCGGGAACCGCGCCGGGATTTTGGGATTTTGGGATTTTGGGATTTTGGGGTTTTGGGTACCTGGTCAGTGCTGGGCGTGTCCGAGATGTCGTTCATGCTCCGGCTCTGGGCGTGACCTGGAGGGAAGGGAGGGAATTGTGAGGAAAAGGC